TTCTGCACTTTGGGCCTAAACAATAAAATAATAATAAAAAAATATAAAAATATAAAATAATAAAATAATAAATAAAAATATAAATAATAATAATACAAATGGTTTTTACATAATAATAGTAACAATAATGTTAATAATATTAATAATACTAATCAGCTTAGGGCCTAAAACTACGTAATATAATAATTATAATATTATTAACAGCTTCTGAAGCTTGGGTCATTCAAAAATACATAATAATCATACATACTCATTATCAATAATAATAACATAATGAGAATAATATATATATATATCAGAGTTGTACTATGAAGTATCATCATAATGATCCTCTTCCTCCTCCTACTGCTACTACTACTACTACTATCACTGCTACTACTAATACTGCTACTACTACTACTACTACTACTACTACTACTACTGCTACTGCTACTGCTACTACTACTACTACTACTACTACTACTACTGCTACTACTGCTACTACTACTACTACTACTACTACTGCTACTACTGCTACTACTACTACTACTACTACTACTACTACTACTACTACTACTACTACTACTGACTACTACTACTACTACTACTACTACTACTACTACTACTACTACTACTACTACTACTTACTGCTACTACTACTACTACTACTACTACTACTGCTACTACTACTACTGCTACTACTGCTACTACTACTACTACTATCACTGCTACTACTACTACTACTACTACTACTACTACTACTACTGCTACTACTACTACTACTACTACTACTACTACTACTGCTACTACTACTACTACTACTACTACTACTACTACTGCTACTACTGCTAATACTACTACATCTACTGCTACTACTACTACTACTACCACTATTACTGCTACTAATACTGCTACAGCTACTGCTACTACTACTACTAATAATAATAATGCTACATCTACTGCTACTACTACTACTACTACTAATAATACTGCTACATCTACTGCTACTACTACTACTACTACTACTACTGCTAATACTGCTACATCTACTTTTACTACTACTACTACTACTGCTACTACTACCACTACTACTACTACTACTACTACTACTGCTAATACTGCTACATCTACTTTTACTACTGCTACTACTACTACTACTACTACTACTACTACTACTACTACTACTGCTAATACTGCTACATCTACTTTTACTACTACTACTACTACTGCTACTACTACTACTACTACTACTACTACTACTACTTCTACTGCTAATACTGCTACATCTACTGCTACTACTACTACTACTACTACTACTACTAATACTGCTACATCTACTGCTACTACTACTACTACTACTACTGCTACTACATCTACTGCTACTACTGCTACTACTATTACATCTACCACTACAATAATAATAATAATAATAATAATAATAATAATAATAATAATAATAATAATAATAATAATAATAATAATAATATGCCATTTAGCAGACGCTTTTATCAAAAGTGACTTACAGTCATGTGCCCATACATTATTACGTATGGGTGGTCCCGGGGATCGAACCCACTACCCTGGCGTTACAAGCACCATGCTCTACCAATTGAGCTACAGAGGACCACTACTACTACTACTACTATTACCTCTACTACTACTACTACTACTACTACTACTACTACTACTACTACTACTACTACTACTACTACTACTACTACTACTACTACTACTACTACTACTACTAATAATAATAATAATAATAATAATAATAATAATAATAATGCTTTTGCAGCTTGAGTCCTTCAAAAAACATAATAAAATTAATAAATACATATTATTATGAATAATAGTAACAATAATAACGATCATTACATATATTGTAGTTATACAGTATACTGACTGTTAAAACACAAACACTTAACCTTTAACACCGGCGGTATTGGCCTATACGGATAGTTCTAAATGGAAATGTTTCTTACAGAATAAATATGAAAAGCATATGAAAGGGAACAGTTAGGAGAAAATTGTAAATGTATTTGCCCAAAGGTGAGTACACAACTGTTCACCTGACACACGTCTGAATCCAAACATTACACTGTTGATTGTATGTGCATTTTACATTTACTGTACTTTTCGCCGCATTTGTTGATAACGAAATCTTAAAATACTCTGGATACATTCAGTAACATCATTAGACTATTCCTGGAAAATGTGGGGTAGGTGCAACATAAGACAAAAAAAAAAGGGTTTGAGTGAGAGGACTAACTGGTGTCTCCAAGTGCCCCACACCTCTCCAAAGTGTGCACAGTTCCTAAGCAATTTCAATGCACTTTTAGGACTCAAAGAAGTCTTCAATTATAAGGTACTTTTTTGAGCTCTCCTAGCTGTGCCGTTGAAAAACTAGAGCAACCACACTTGCAGTTGTTTCGTTTGGATCACAACCCTGCATCCCCGCCATCACACAATTACGGTTAAAATGGTCCATTACCAATTGCAATCTGGGTCAGGTGGGTATGATTTGAACGGTTGTTCTATAACCAACATGACTAGCTAAGGTATACAATACGGAAGCTCATTTACTGCAATTCTATACGATCCCGCAGGTGAAGAAGCCGGATGTGGAGGTCCTGGGCTGGCGCGGTTACATGTGGTCTGCGGTTGTGAGGCCGGTTGGTTGTACTGCCAAATTCTATAAAACGACATTAGAGGCGGCTTATTGTAGAGAATTTAGCATTCAATTATTTGGCAACAGCTCTGGTGGACTTTCCTGCAGTCAGCATGCCAATTTCACGCTCCCTCAAAACTTGAGACGTCTGTGGCATTGTGTTGTGTGGCAAAACTGCACATTTTAGAGTGGTACACCTAAAGGGTAGCTATTTGAACAATCTCAAATATAAAATATATTTAGAATTGTTTAACACTTTTTGGGTTACTACATGATTCCATATGTGTTATTTCATAGTTTTGATGTCTTCACTATTGTTCTGCAATGTAAAAATTAGTACAAATAAAGAAAAACCCTTGAATGAGTAGGTGCGTCCAAACGTTTGACTGGTTTGACTTCATGTATATTAAGAAACTGCATTCCAATTCAGCCACTTATTAGTACCCAAATCTGCAATTTTCAACACGTATACGGGTGTAAAGTGTTAAACACTGAAAGAGCAAAAATCAAAGCTATGAAGTGGTGTAGTACGAATTTAACATCAGAGTTCTACTATGAAGTGGTGTAGTGTGCATTTAATATCCGAGTTGTACTATGAAGTGGTGTAGTGTGAATTTAATATCAGAGTTGTACTATGAAGTGGTGTAGTGTGAATTTAATATCAGAGCTATGAAGTGGTGTAGTGTGAATTTAATATCAGAGTTGTACTATGAAGTGGTGTAGTGTGAATTTAATATCAGAGTTGTACTATGAAGTGGTGTAGTGTGAATTTAATATCAGAGCTATGAAGTGGTGTAGTGTGAATTTAATATCAGAGTTGTACTATGAAGTGGTGTAGTGTGAATTTAATATCAGAGCTATGAAGTGGTGTAGTGTGAATTTAATATCAGAGCTATGAAGTGGTGTAGTGTGAATTTAATACCAGAGCTATGAAGTGGTGTAGTGTGAATTTAATATCAGAGCTATGAAGTGGTGTAGTGTGAATTTAATATCAGAGCTATGAAGTGGTGTAGTGTGAATTTAATATCAGAGCTATGAAGTGGTGTAGTGTGAATTTAATATCAGAGTTGTACTATGAAGTGGTGTAGTGTAAATTTAATATCAGAGCTATGAAGTGGTGTAGTGTGAATTTAATATCAGAGTTGTACTATGAAGTGGTGTAGTGTGAATTTAATATCAGAGCTATGAAGTGGTGTAGTGTGAATTTAATATCAGAGCTGTACTATGAAGTGGTGTAGTGTGAATTTAATATCAGAGTTGTACTATGAAGTGGTGTAGTGTGAATTTAATATCAGAGCTATGAAGTGGTGTAGTGTGAATTTAATATCAGAGCTGTACTATGAAGTGGTGTAGTGGTAAATTTAATATCAGAGCTATGAAGTGGTGTAGTGTGAATTTAATATCAGAGCTGTACTATGAAGTGGTGTAGTGTGAATTTAATATCAGAGCTATGAAGTGGTGTAGTGTGAATTTAATATCAGAGCTGTACTATGAAGTGGTGTAGTGTGAATTTAATATCAGAGCTGTACTATGAAGTGGTGTAGTGTGAATTTAATATCAGAGCTGAACTATGAAGTGGTGTAGTGTGAATTTAATATCAGAGCTGAACTATGAAGTGGTGTAGTGTGAATTTAATATCAGAGCTATGAAGTGGTGTAGTGTGAATTTAATATCAGAGCTATGAAGTGGTGTAGTGTGAATTTAATATCAGAGCTATGAAGTGGTGTAGTGTGAATTTAATATCAGAGCTATGAAGTGGTGTAGTGTGAATTTAATATCAGAGCTGAACTATGAAGTGGTGTAGTGTGAATTTAATATCAGAGCTATGAAGTGGTGTAGTGTGAATTTAATATCAGAGCTATGAAGTGGTGTAGTGTGAATTTAATATCAGAGCTCTACTATGAAGTGGTGTAGTGTGAATTTAATATCAGAGCTCTACTATGAAGTGGTGTAGTGTGAATTTAATATCAGAGCTCTACTATGAAGTGGTGTAGTGTGAATTTAATATCAGAGCTATGAAGTGGTGTAGTGTGAATTTAATATCAGAGCTATGAAGTGGTGTAGTGTGAATTTAATATCAGAGCTATGAAGTGGTGTAGTGTGAATTTAATATCAGAGCTCTACTATGAAGTGGTGTAGTGTGAATTTAATATCAGAGCTGTACTATGAAGTGGTGTAGTGTGAATTTAATATCAGAGCTATGAAGTGGTGTAGTGTGAATTTAATATCAGAGTTCTACTATGAAGTGGTGTAGTGTGAATTTAATATCAGAGCTATGAAGTGGTGTAGTGTGAATTTAATATCAGAGCTGAACTATGAAGTGGTGTAGTGTGAATTTAATATCAGAGCTATG